TGGAGGGAAGGCGAGGGAGAAAGGGGGAACAGAGGACAAGGTCTACATGTGGCCTCCTCCCTGGGGGACGGACAGCGGAGAAGTGGGTGAGGGAGACGTGGGATGGGGTAAAATATGATAAAAGAATAATAAATTATAAATTATCGGGGGTTTGGGGGTAGGGGGGAGTGAGCAGGGAGGGGGGGAAATGAGCTGACACCAGGGGCTCAAGTGGCAAGTGGGTGTCATAAGAATGATGAAGTCAACATATGTACTAAAGTGCTGGACACAGATGACGTATGTACAGATTGTGATGAGTTGTATGAGCCCCTAATAAAATGATTATTTTTTAAAAAGGAAGCAAAATATATTTAAAAACTAGAACAAATTTGAATGGCTCATAAGGAAGATCTAATGACTGGCTGCTAAATTGTAACCTACTTGCATCTGTAACAATTCACTTACCTGGTCACAACCCTGGTCAGGGGCTTAATCCACATGCATTTCCTCTTTAATTTTTTTTTTTTTGGTGATTAATCACTATGCTTTATTTTCAATTTGTAACAATGAAAATACATCCTGCATATCAGATATTTATGTACATTACGATTCATAACAGTAGCAAGATCACAGTTATGAAGTAGCAATGAAAATGTTATGGTGGGGGGGGTCACCAAAACATGAGGAACTGTATTAAAGGGTCGCGGCATTAGGAAGGTTGAGAACCACTGGTCTAGGGAAAGGGCACCGCAGGAGCAGCAAGAGTAAAGGCCGAGAGACAGTATGTGTTTGATGTGTTCTTCTACCAACAGCATGGAGGTCAGGCAGCGGGAAGAATGAGGAGATTGGGAGATTGGGAGGGGGCTGTGGGAGACCACCTAGAGTCCTGCAACTGTGGACGGACCTGCCTTTCACTGAGGCAGAGGATGACTGCAAGGCTTTGAAGAGAAGAGCAATGCTACTGGGTATAAATTATGCAGGACAGCTCCCACCTGGTCACGCAATCAAGAATCAGTATCAGGGACACACACAGGCTTTCAGATCTGAAATCTTATCAACCTCCTCTTTCTCGAGATAAGAAAACTGAAACCTAGAAAATTTCCAGTTGCACTTCATCTGTTGATAAACAAAAAGTGGCTAGAGCATTCTTTCTTTTAAAAGTACTGCCCGTCAGGTATGGCACAAAAAAAGTAGTAAGTAATAACAGGATGACTGAAGAAAGAGAAAAAAGTTAGTGCCATACTTTATCCAATTCAGCCTGTAGGATATTATGAGTGTTCTTGGCCTGCTGCAGCTCCTGGGTAAGTTTGGCTTTCATCTGAGTGCACTCTTGGTCCAAGGTTTGGAAAGACTCCTTTTCCCGTTCCTTGATTTTTCGTTCAAGGGAATATCTGGCACTTTCTGCATTTTGTCACGGACAACTCAAATCTTCAGTCAATTTTTTTAGTTTCTGTTCCAATGTAGCACACTTAGTTGATGCCTGGTCATACTGTGCTGTTGTTCTCACCAGTTCATCCCTATTTTTGTTCAAAACTTTCTCTTTGTCAGATATCTCTACTTTTGCTGTCTCTAGTTGGAGTTCTTGAAAGTTATTCAATTGGCTTTTCATTTCTTTTTCTTTTCCTTGTAGACGTACTTCCAATTCACTAATCGGGCTTCTCAGTTCTCGATTCTGGGCTTTTAGTTGGTCCAGATGAGTATGGCTGGAATCCTCACAGATGCTGCCGTTCATGTCTTTCTGCCCTACGTGCGGAGCTGACCTACTTGGCGGCATGTCTTGTTCCCCAGCAGAGTCAGATGCAGAGAAGCCTCTCCTACTCAGAGTTTTCCGAGTGCTAGATGAACGGCGGTGACTTGGGGTCTTCTCCTGTTGCCACAAGAACACAGACGAGGACGCCTGATGTCGAGCAATCTCTCGGTGATTCATGCTGCTTTGGGAAACAGCAGGACTTGCTTTTTTAGCATGCAAGGTTTTAACCTCTGCCCCTAATCTTCTTCGTTCTTCAACTTCTTTATTATATTTTTCTCTTAGGTCTTCATACCTGAAACCACTGTAATGCTGACTAGGTGTGGGTGGAGTTGGAAAGACTTTCTCTGGTGTTCCCCGGGATTCAGAGAGACGTCTGCAGGTGTCGCAGAGTGTTGGCTTCTGTCAAACTCAGATTTAAACCTTTTAAGTTCCTGTTCCAGCTGTTCGATTTGTTTTTGGCTTGAATTCAGTTGTCCTTCCTGGAAATTCACTTGGGACTCCTTGACTTGAAGTTCATGAGAAATCTTCTGCTTAGTTTTCTCCAGATTCGCACACATCTCCATCAAGCGTTGGTTCTCCCTTTTCAGGTTCGTGCCCTCTGTTTTTTCTTTCTCAACCTTCTGCTTTTGCTTCTGCAATTCAGCCTCCAGAGTGTCGAGCTGAAACTGCCTTTGCTGCCTTTCCTTCTTTAATTTGTCAAGCTGTCCTTCAAGTTCTTGAATTTTCTGAAGAGCTCTTGTCGGCAGGCCTTCCTTCCCCTCTTCTAAAACCCAGCTCATCTTGTTTGCCTTTTTTTTTACCCAAACATTTATAAATAACTTCCTACCGGAACCGGGAAAGCAGCCCCTAACTGAGCCGGGTTCTGACGCGCGAACTGGGACCAGGCACCTTCTCCCTCTTCAATTTTTACAAAAAAACTGAAACAGCTTTAAACTAGGTCTAAAGAAGATCAAATGATACATTTGACCTAGTTACATCTTCTACAATTGACTTCACAATTCACTCTGATAACAGGGTTATTCACATCCCTATGATTGGAGGAGATTCACATGACTCTAAATGCATGTATGAACTCTACAACCTGAGTCTGGGCGTTTACTGTCATTCATAGCTTTCTGCGAACCAGATGTTCACAATCTAAACCCTGATACCATTACCTAATCCTTGGATCATATAGGCGGGTATGCTTCTTCCATGTGGACTTAGATGACTCCTCATTTAGATGGTTGTCTCTGGAGAAAGAGTTCGTGATTAGTAAAGCAGAGAGAGGGTCAGTGAAAAGGAACAAGGTGCTCAATGAGCTGGACTGACAGGGTTTGAGACAACCGGTTCTGACACAGCACAGATTGAGGGTGGTGAAGGACTGGGTAGGGTTTCATTCTGTGGTAAATATGGTTGCTATGAATCAGAGGTGACTTGGCAGAATCTAAGAATAGCAACAACACATTCTCTCTGAATGGCTGGAGATGAATGAATGGCTTTATGATATTAAATATTTATTTTATACTCTTTAGGATTTTACCCACTCAAAACAAAACAAACTATTTTAGTAGTGATCTTATTGATTTTAGAAAATAACTTAAAATACATTTATAAGGTTTAGAGTAAAAGTCTGATTTTGATATCTATGCCAGGGTTACCAACATTTTATTGGTATTCATTTATTGTTCATCCAACTTACATTTTTAAAAAGGTCATGTCAAGACAAATGAAGTAGTAACACAGAGGAAAGATATAAATTTAGGCAATAAATGACAGAATATGTGAGTAGAGACCAAGGAGCTAACTTTACTTGGGGAATTCACAAAGATGACTGCTGAATAGAGATTTAACCCTTTCTCTGCCTGTGGACCATATGAATGTAACTCCCACCCATATTTTCAGCCTCTCAGTTTTCTTGTAAAGCAACTATCCCAGTTGTATTATGTGCTGCACCTGTACAATTATGGGAATATGAAAAAAACAGACCTTCCCCCATCATTCCTACCACTAGAGTCCACTTGCAATACGTGTTGGATACAATTGATGCATGGTTTGTAACAAGAGTTGTAAAAGCCCCCAATACAATGATTAAAAAAACCCAACAACAATGAAAACCAATGTTATTTAAAAAAAAAAAAAGTTAAGCCTGGTGAGTAATGAATCTGGAAGGTTTTTGTAATGCTGTGATCTTTTTCTCTCTTTTTTCAATTTTAATTCTTCTTTTTAATTTCATTATTATTATTTTCCACTTTTATTTATGGTATATAACACATACAAAGAAAAACAAAATATATGTAGTTGCATAGCTGATCAAAACAGTGAGCATACCAGCGACCCCTACCCATGTATGTGGTTCTTTCTTCTCTGCTGTCCATCCCCCAGGGAGGAGGCTATACATAGATTCTTGTAATAGGTTTCCCCTTTCCACCCCACATTGCCTCCACCCTCCAGGCACCGCCACTCCCACCACTGATCCTGAAGGGGTCATCTGTCCTGGATTCCCTGTGTTTCAAGTTGCTATCTGTACCAATGTACATCTTCTGGTCTAGCCAGATTTGTAAGGTAGAATTGGGATCATGATAGTGAGGGGGAGGAAGCATTTAAGAACTAGAGGAAAGTTATATGTTTCATTGTTACTATCCTGCACCCTGACTGGCTCATCTCCTCCCCACAACCCTTCAGTGAGGGAGTGTCCAGTTGCCTACCGATGGTTTTGAGTCTCCACTCTGCACTCACCCTCATTTACAATGATATGGTTTTTTGCTCTTTGATGTTTGATACCTGATCCCTTCAACAGCTTGTGGTCACACAGGCTGGTGTGCTTCTTCCATGTGGGCTTTGTTGCTTCTGAGCTAGATGGCCGTTTGTTTATCTTCAAGCCTTTAAGACACTAGATACTAATCTTTTGATAGCTGGGCACCATCAGCTTTCTTCACCAGTAGCTTATGCACATGTTTGTTTTCAGTGATCAGATCGGGCAGGTGGGCACCCACTGATATGAATTTTTGTTCTTTGATGTCTGATAACTGGGCCTTCTACACCTTGTGGTCAGACAGGCTGGTGTGCTTCTTCCATGTGGGCTTTGATGTTTCTCAGCTAGATGGCCACTTGTTTATCTTCAAGCCTTTACGACCCCAGATGCTATATCTTTTGATAGCTGGGTACCATCAGCTTTCTTCATCACATTGGCTTACACATGCATTTTTCTTCAGCTATCGTGTCAGGAAGGTGTGCATCATGGAATGCCAATTTAATAGAACAACTTGTTCTTGCATTGAGTAAGTACTTCAATGGAGATCCAATGTCCATCTGCTGTCTTAATACTAAGCCTATAAATATATGCATGTAGATAAATTTCCCCACCCTCCTATATAAATATATTTACATATGTATATGCCAGTATTTAGACCTTTATAAATACCCTTTGTCACCCAGTGCTTTCCTCTATTTGCTTTTGCTTTCCTCTTGTCCCACTATCATGCTCAGCCTTCATTTGGGTTTCAGTAATTTTTCTCAGTTACATTGCCCTTGCTGAATCCCTACCAGGCCTCTCACACCCTCCTTGCTACTGATTTTGGATCACTGGTTGTTCCCCTGTCCCTGGGTTGGTCAGCACCACCTCCTTACCCCCGTGTCTCCCTCTCCCAGCTCCCTCCAGAACCATTGGTCCCGCTGTTTTCTTCTCCAGACTACTCTTCCGGTCTGTCTTATCTAGATAAATCTGTAGAGATAATAATATGCACCAGAAGTCACGCCATAGTAAGATGGGCGACAAATGAGAACACAGCACTGGCTACAAAAAGGAAAACCAATGACCCATAAAAGAATAAATAAATTAAAATACAAAATATTTTAAAAAGAAAGAAAAACCTGTAAATAGATCAAGGTCTGATTTTTGATCTCTAGGCATGTCCTTCAGTCAGGTCCGATGGGGTGCCACGCTCTGGCCCCAGAGTCTGTCTGTTGTACTCCCTTGGACATGGTCAATATACTCTTTTTATAAGGAGTCAATATAATTAATAGAGAAGAATCTCAGAGCTTTATGCTCTGGTACAGGGTGATCCCAGAGAATAGACGGAAACTGGGTCATTTTATACTCAGACGAGGAGGAATGCAGAGACTCAGGCCCAAAGGTGAGACATAAGTCTGAGAAAGTGTAACTTGTTACGAGCCAATCCACAAGTGTTAGTCTAGGACTCAATTCCAAGCACCATTATCTTTAGAAAACATCAATTAGCACTAGGAAAGACATTATGTTGGGTGTTAAATATTGATGTTCTAGCTAGTCTTATGTCTCAGCTCAGGAGAGTTGATGGCCAGAGAATGAAAACGGCAAGCCTGGTTGCATCGAGTCTGAAAGGACGGTAGAGAAATATGTAACAAAGAAGAAGGGTAATGACAATGAATGGCTTAAGAATGCATGGCACAAAATGCTCATGTGAGAACAGGGGATTCACACAGAAGTAGGGATGTGATCACTACAGTAAAATATCAAATGACCAACCATATGGAAAAGGGGTGGGAGAATCCTGCTGAGACAAAACATAGGCACAAGGCACAGCGTAATTTACTCAGGAAGCAAGGGAAGCGACGAAGAGACCCTGAAGAAGCCTCACTCCCAGACTTGGGAATATATAGTTTAGCAAGGAAAAGCAGAGAAATGGTGCTATCCTCTCCTAGAATGCAGTACCGAGCAGGATCAATATATTGCTGAGGGAGAAGCAAGAACCTGGAGAGTGATTCGGGTGTGCAGGACCACTGAAACCCGAAAGTGAGGTTCTACACTAAGAACCAAACTCCCGGACCCCAGTTTCCACCTTAAGGAAGTGGTTCCTCACCTCTAGAAGAATGTGGAGTCTGCTGGCTACTAAAGGCAATGATACCAACAATAAAGTCCACACTTACCTCAACTACAGGCTAAGTGGACTCAACAGATAAAGGTAGGGTCTGACATCAGATGGAGCTTCCCAGGCATAAGAATTACTTACTTCATTTGTTTCTACTCTTCTATTCATGATGCTTAGAACTCAATAAAAAAATAAGGAACATATGAAACACTCAGAAGAACGCATCCATTGTTAGGAGATGAAGTAACGAACAGAACTAGACTTAGAAATGACTAAAATATCAGGTCTGTTCGATGAGAGAAGATCCATAGCATGTCTGACTAAATGACACAGTGCAACATCAAGAAGGGAATTAGAAGAAAGAGACAAGGGTGGGGGCGCAGAAACACAAAGACACGTTCAAGGATGCAGAATGTCTTAGACTGGCTCATCAATAGCTGTGACAGAGCTGAAGAAAGGATCAGTAAACTTGAAGTTTAAGAAAAAATTTTATTTATAAAAGTAAAATAGAGTAAAAAGCAAACACAACCCTCAGAAAACACCCCAGAGCTGTAATGACATCAAATAGTAAGTTATGGGTATAAAGCCCAGGGAGAGAGGAGAGGAAACATAGGTAAAAAACATAGTGGCTGTGACTGGAGATCCCTTGCAGAGGGGTCTCGGGGAGGAGATGAGCCAGTCAGGGTGCGATGTAACAACGTGAGAAATACAACTTTCCTCTAGTTCCTAAATGTTTCCTCCCCGCTCCCACTACCATGACTCGAATTCAACCTTGCAAGTCTGGCTAGACCAGAGGATGTATACTGGTACAGATAGGAACTGAAAATCCAGGGAATCCAGGGCGGATGAGCCCTACAGGACCAGTGGTGTGAGTGGCAAAACAGGGAGGGTAAAGGGGGAGTGGGTAGGAAAGAGGGAACCGATTACAAGGAACTATATGTGACCTCCTC